CCTATAATACAAATCATACAAATCCATGTAGCAAAAAGATCATTTCCTTTTTTTCTAAATTTGCCATATGTAGCAGTGATTGTAAGAGAAAAACGTTAGCAAAAGATGCTATCCAAATTTTTTCGTAATGCTATATCTTAAATGGTGTATTGTATCTGATCAACTATAACCCAGTTTACTTTATGAATTTATACATACGTATATTGACTGAATTATGTGAATTAAATAATTGAGTCAATATATTGTAACTGAATCAATTATAATATTGTGTCAGGTCAGGTAAACTAATAAATATTACAAGACTAAATTAGAAAATTAGGGCTGTTATTTATACAAAATATAAACTGAATGTCACATATATGTGTATGTGTATTTTTACTTTACACGACATCATAAAGAAATACCTACTTAGCCACATGTACTTACATAATACGTAACGGAATGTTATATGAAAACGAAAACATGGTTCTAAATAAAGCTTTATTATATCTTGAGAATCAAAAATCGCTTAGCAGCTTTTACGGTACGTAATGATTCAAAAATGTTTAGATTTTTGCTAAAGAAAAAGAACAAAAAGAGATTTTGCAAAGAGCTTTTAAGGACCTTTTGATTTTTTGTTTTTGCTTGTACTAGAGGGTCAGGGAGTATGTTTTCTAAATTAAACCGGTAGGAGTTCTGGCTCCTAAAGTTGAATGATCTATTTTAATTTTTTAAAATTTCGTTTTTGATTTTGTTTATTTTAAATATCGTTCCATCATTTTTACCACATTTGTTTGTTTGTAATATTTTTCTCTCTTTCTTACTGTTGGAAATCTTATTGTGACCTATTAAATGAGTTGAAAGTTGTATAGGTTCCAGCTGAAACGGACGGTTTTTAGACAGTGAATGAACTTATTAAACAATATATACGAGTACTTTGATTAACATTGTTTGCAAATGCAATGATATGCAAAGCAAACTGCTATATTTTTGCATTTATGAAATTTAAAAAGAGTTTGACGGCTTCGAAAACATAAGCTGATAAAAATGTAATTTTTTACATATAGTTACTTACTTAGTTACTTTATTACTTACTTTTTTAGATTAGTATTTGGATTAGTTACTTATATCTGGTAGGAAAATTTTCTTCTAAAAAAAAAGTTTTGTACATAGTTTTACATTTTTTCTTGAATCTGACAGAAAATTGCATGTCAATTGTATTTTTGGATTATTCTTTTGTTTGAAATATTTGAACATTTCATATTTTTGATGTTTCCCAATAATCTATAATTAAGTTGCAAAGAATTTAGAGTCAATATATAAATTTTATTTTTCAATTCTTTGCAAACAAATTAACAGAAGTCCGCTATTTCATTAAAGTCGGCATAAATATAAAAATTTTAATTTTATTTGTATAGATGTTGTCATTTCAAAAATCTGCTAACAAAAGAATAGCTTTGAATGAAATATTCAGTTGTGATTAATTTTTTTAAAGAAAAGCTAAAAAGACTGCTTTTATAGCCTAAAGTAAAGTAATTCAAAACGTTGCCCTTACCAATTGTTGCTAAAAACAAAACTTATAATATATAAAAACAAAAATATTTCGAAAAATTTTCAAATTTATTTTGATTTAAGAAAATTTTCACGTATCATACTCGTATATAATTTATAAATAGTTTTAGCTAAATAAATAATTCTTCTACTTTATTATAAACACAGTTAAAGTTGGTCATGATAAGCGTTAGAACAGAACTTAATGATGATGATCATATAAATTGGAATTAGCCCAGCTTTCGGCGTGTCCGTGATGACCATGATGTCCATGATCCCATCCATGATCATGATGTCCTGGAAGTGACAAAATTGATAAGTTAATTATTTATAAACAAAAATATTTTTTTTTACCTTCAGGATGATGAGCGTGGCCGACTCTTTTAACAATTGCATTAAATCCATTATGTTTATCGGAAGTATATTCGACAATACGTTTTGTACCATCAGCTTCATGAAGTTCATAGGCACCTTCATAAAATAAATTTTGTTAATAACAATATTAAAGTCCTAATTATTTACAGAGTATATAATTATAATTTATTTACCTTTGACATGATCACCATCACGATGTTCCCATTGATTTTTGTGATCACCTGTATGAGAATCTTTTACACCATATTCGAATTTATAAGCTGGATGTGAATGATGATCATGATGATCGTGGTGGTCATGATGTTCCTCGTGACCATGATGTCCGTGATGTTCATTATGACCATGATGATCATGTTTTACAACACTAGCATAACTACTAGCATGACCGTGATGGTGTCCTGCATAAGCAAGAGCTACAAGTCCTAAAGCGAAAATAATTGAAATCAATTGCATGTCTATTCCTTTCAGGTCTGTTTAAACAGGTGAACAAGCGACGAAAGAATGATACAAATGGTGTGAACTTTTTCCATTTTATACGTTTTCCAATCTTTAAGTTTTTTATAATTGTTTACCAAATAACAAAAGTTTATTGAATGTTTATTGTTATTTATTTTTGTTAGTATAACAGGAAAATGTAATCGATAAAAATTCACAAATACTTTAATTAAGAATTTATTTAAATTTTGACATTAAGGTGACCATATTATTTTAGTCTTACCATATTGTGTGTTATGATGTTGCATGATAGAAAAACCTTTTGAAGTTTTATTGTTATGTAAATATTTTTGATAGATATTTATATACCGTTAATTTGAAAATTAAAAAAATTTGGTACTACTGGGGTAATATTAAAAGTAGAATTTTTCTTCCAAAACAACGTTTTTTTACTTGCAATATTTTCTGCTTTATTTTGAATATTTTTAATAAATGAACTTTCGCTAAATAAGGTCTTTTGAAAGTATCGTAAGAAAATACGAAATAGAAATAAGAAAACGAAAATAAAAACAAAAATTTGGAATTTACCGTAAGTCAAGGTGAATAAGCTAAGTGTAAGGAATTTAATAAAAATGTTAATTGGCATACTTAATCATAAGATTAGATAGGATGTGTTTTTTACAATAGAAATATGTAGTAAATAAAAATACTTTAGATTTTTTATTTCCTGATGCAGAAAATTCTAATTATTTATAAGTATTTGTCAACGTATATTTATCATAATATCAGTTTACCGCTCCGTTTGTAATATTGAGAAATAATATTTTGAGATAATGGCATTGTATTAAACATTTATACGCTTGTTGAACTTAAAACTCTGAGTTAGAAAAATGAAAATTTGGCTCATATTAGAGTTTCTCTTTGTATTATCTGAATTCCCTGAATAGTTCGACAGTTAATTTCGGTAACAAATAGAATTAAAATATTAAATTTCAAGAAATTTCGTCAGTTTATTCCATAAATATGACAAAAAAAAATGTAAGTTCAGCCCCTAATATGGTTGCCGGGCCCTGATATTCAAATATTAAATTTGAAGGAAATTGGTCGATTATTTTTCTTCAGAAACGCCAAAATGTAAAAGCGGCCCACAAAAAGATCCAATTACCGAGGCTTGATATATCCAAAGTGTTGATCAAACCGTGACATAGTGAAAATAAACTCAAATATAAAATTTCATCAAAATTAGTTCAGCCGAGATATAAGCATGCACACACATATCCACAGAGAGACAGACCAACAGACCGACATCTTACTAAAAATAATTTTTGTACACTTTTTTTTGTACAGAAAACTAAAATTTGCTGCCACCACATAATCTTCCTTATTGTATGCAATACGGTTGGTAAAAATTGAACTAATGTGAACCAAGATTTATAATAGTAATTGTCAAGATCCTCTTTAATTTAAAGAGTATCTAGTCAAACTTAGAACTTAAATTTTGCAAAAAAACCTTATTTTGTGAGTTGTTTATGAGAATACGAGATGTACCTTACGTCCATGAGAGTGTACGTACGTGTTCGAAAAATTTGGGTTCAACAGGATATTCTAAACGCTTACTGTTAAGAATATTATTCTTGTTATTGCCTGGGGAGAGAGCTTGAGATATTCGCGCACTGTTTTTTATAGAACGAAGCCCGGTTAAATTTATATCTTATTACTTTTGTAAATTTACATAACTAACACCAATAAGTTAGTGACGAAATTAAAATCGTAGTTAGAGTGAAAATGGAAAAATTTTTAAAGCACATAATTTTTTAGATGCCTGTGCGCTCAGTTTCGCAAAATTTTGTCTCAAAAAGGCGAAACTGACTAGTCAATGGTAACTCAATGACGTGTTAATGAAAAATGCCAAATGACATTTTCTGATGGGTCGTTAATTTTTGCAAATGTACAGAGACTCAGTTTTAAGTTGAACATTTGTATAATACATACGTCTTTTTAACATATTGTTAACATATTTTAAAGCCATTAAAGAAAAAAATTTGGTATAAAAAAACATTTGCAGTACTTTATTTTTCTCAATAACTTAAGCATTCTAAGTGTGCTAAGATTAATGAAAACTACAATATTACGTCACCAAAAAAATTTAATCATATGTCAAAATCTGAACAGAAAATAATTAATGCAGATACTCATAACAAAGTCTTTGTTCTGACGTTCCTACAGTTGTACTAAAAATTTCAAAAGGTAAAAAAATCAGCCGAGATTTACTTTAACCCTCTGCAATTCGGCCTCTGTTGGCTGAGAACATTGTTCCATACAAATTTTTTGTCTAGTCATGAGGGTTTATACAAGAGTGTATAAGAGGCCACTTAAATATTTCTTCGGAATTAACTTGTAATAGTTTTAATAGACAAGTGACAATTTTCATAATTAGTTTGTAAATTAGTTAAGTTGAACTTAAGTAAAGTAAACAGTTTGACTACTAAAGCTATAAATTTTTATTTTATGTAATATTTGTTCAAGCAGGAATTTAACCCGAATTTTGTCAGAAATATAATACATATATTTAAACAAAAATATTTTGTAAATTTTAAAATTTATTTTGATATGAGAAAATTTTAACATAGCAATTGATTTATAAATAGTCATTGGCTAAATAAATAATTTTTTTGCTTTAATATAATTAAAGTCAAAGTTGGTCGTTAAACGGTAGATGAAAACTTAATGATGATGGTCATATAAATTGGAATTAGCCCAGCTTTCGGCGTGTCCGTGATGTCCATGATGTCCATGATCCCATCCATGACCATGATGTCCTGTGAGTAACAAAATTCATAAGATAATTATTTATTGATAAAAACCATTTTTTTTACCTTCAGGATGATGAGCGTGGCCGACTCTTTTAACAATTGCATTAAAACCATTATGTTTATCGGAAGTATATTCGACAATACGTTTTGTACCATCAGCTTCATGAAGTTCATAAGCACCTTCATGAAATAAATTTTGTTAATAGTAATATCAAAGCTACAATAACAAAAAATATAATTATAATTTATTTACCTTTGACATGATCACCATCACGATGTTCCCATTGATTTTTGTGATCACCTGTATGAGAATCTTTTACACCATATTCGAATTTATAAGCTGGATGTGAATGATGATCATGGTGATCGTGGTGATCATGATGTTCCTCATGACCATGATGTCCGTGATGTTCATTATGACCATGATGATCATGCTTTACAACACTAGCATAACTACTAGCATGACCGTGATGGTGTCCTGCATAAGCAAGAGCTACAAGTCCTAAAGCGAAAATAATTGAAATCAATTGCATGTTTATTCCTTTCAGGTCTGTTTAAACAGGTGAACAAGCGACGAAAGAATGATACAAATGGTGTGAATTCTTTCCATTTTATACGTTTTCTAATCTTGAAATTTTTCATAATTGTTAAGCAAATAACGAAAGTTTATTGAATTTTTATTGTTATTTATTTTTGTTAGTATAACAGGAAAATGTAATTGATAAAAATTTACAAATACTTTCACACAATTAAGAATTTATTTAAATTTCGTTCCTAAGGTGACCATATTGTTTGAATGTTTGCAAGTGTTTTATTTGTGTTATTGTGTATTATGTAAATGTTTGTCCGTATTAAAGACAAAGTGTAAGACAAGAATTAGAAAAAAATAAAATTTCAGTTCTAAAAAATTTTTTTGTTTTTACAACAACAATGTTTTTGTTACCTTTTTGGTTCATTTTAAACACTTTCGCTTAATAAAATATTTTTGAAGGTATCATAATTCATAATAATTCATAAAATAGAAATAAAAAAAACAAAATGAAAATTAAAATATGCAATTCTCAAGGTAAGTAAGCTAAATGTGAAGAAAAAGACATTATATGCATACAATTATGTATATATAATGTCTTTCCAGAAGAGAAGCATTAACCGTTCTTGTCAAAAAGTGTTCACTTTTCTTAAAAAAACGTTGATATGGAACCAAAAACAAAGTAATGATTTTTTAATTAAATAAAAATAAAAGCAATTAATGTGGGACAGCGAATGCAATATTTGGGGCAGTTGTATCCACTTCTACACGGTGGGGAGTCTTCTCCAGAGAACTTGGGATGGAGATCTCCTTTCGACTTCCGAATTATTGTAGCGTCTTTCAGACGGATGTGCTTCCTATAAACGAGTTATAAAATGGCTGGTGCGCAATTTGATAACATACAGTTGCATTAGAATTTTCACGGACAATCAGGCTGTGATGAGGACGTTGCAAGCGGAGACGTTCACTTCAAAAACGGTCCGGGATTGCACATTGTTTCTTAACGAGATGGCGAAATCGTTCAAAATCAACCTGGTTTGGGTTCCGATCCAAACTGAAATCTATAAAAACTGCAGGTCGGAAGAACTGGCTAGCATGAAACGACTCTTCGGATTCTACTTGAAAAGGAGGACTTGTTATGCCTCTTAGCACGTGCAAGTTGTTTCTACGCTATGTGACAATGGAGCAAGCTAATAGCAGATGGAAAAATGAACGACCAGGCAACTTTGGCCTAGACTGGATCTGCGTCGCACAGCGGACCTGTTGTCTGTCCCTCGGCGTTTGTGATAGAGGGTATAACTGGGCACTGTCAGATTGGCGAACACGTAAGTAAGTTGGGACGCCTCGCTAGCGGCCTCTGCAGTAGCAGCTGTAACGAGGAGGAGGATACTTCGGCTTATTTTTTATGCTCATGTCAAGCTTAGCAGAAGGCGGTTCTTTGAGTCGCATTTCTTTTCGCGAACTACGGATCTGACGAATGTAAATGCCAAAGCCCTAAAAAGGTTTATAAATAACTCGGACTCGTTCACGTGAGGTTGGGGACATGGAGATCCAGCGGCATCATCACGGGCTTAAGTGGCCTAAGTGTATCCTCGGATGACCCCTATAACCTAAACCTAAACCTAATTATTTAACACTTCAACCATCTGAATTATTATCACGAATAAAAAAAAAATAGAATATTTAATTCCAATTATAACCAGTGCTAATCTATTTAGCCCAAATTTATTCTTTTTTTCAAAATAAAGTCTTCACTTCGAAGATTTATTAAAAAAAAATCTTCATGAACCCTTCGAGATCTTCAGTTGAAATTCAATAGAAAAAAGGAGGGGAGCAAGAACATCACGATTTCCATTCGAACCAAATCTGAGACATGCATAATGACATATGATATCATAAGCCGTATGGTCATTTATTTAATGCGTCGGTTAATATAGAATTAATTGATGCGTAGAGTATCAAAAATTTTCTATCGAGGAAGAAGTGTACGTATCATGCGTTATCTATTAAATTTGATTTTTTGATCAAATTTTGTGACTAAACATTGGAAAATATGAAAAAAAGTGTAAAAAATTCTGATTCTAAAAAAATGCAGTAGCGTAAAAAAACCCTAATTTTTAATATATTTTTGTATGCAAAATTTTAAAATTTCAAAAATCGTATTTTGGAGTCTCGTACAAAAAGTATGATCAGAATACCTTCACTTTGAAGATATCCACTTTAGTAGCGCTGATTATGGCGTATGCAAATGAAAGAAGACAACAGAGAATGCTTTCATAATTGTGCAAATAGCCGCACAATTAATTGCTTGTATGACTAAAACAACAACCAATGTCTGTCAGAAACATAAAAACAAAAATATTTCGAAAAACATTAAAATTTATTTTTTAAAAAAATTTTAACATAGCATTTAATTTATAAATAGTCATTAACTAAATAAATAATTTTTTTATTGTATAAGTTGGTCATTAAACTGTAGAAGAAAACTTAATGATGATGATCATATAAATTAGAATTTGCCCAGCTTTCGGCGTGTCCGTGATGTTCATGATGTCCATGATCCCATCCATGACCATGATGTCCTGCAAGTGACAAAATTGATAAGGTAATTATAAATAAAAATATTTTTTTTACCTTCAGGATGATGAGCGTGGCCGACTCTTTTAACAATTGCATTAAAACCATTATGTTTATCGGAAGTATATTCGACAATACGTTTTGTACCATCAGCTTCATGAAGTTCATAGGCACCTTCATGAAAAAAATTTTGTTAATAGTAATTCAGCATCAATAACAAAAAATATAATTATAATTTATTTACCTTTGACATGATCACCATCACGATGTTCCCATTGATTTTTGTGATCACCTGTATGAGAATCTTTTACACCATATTCGAATTTATAAGCTGGATGTGAATGATGATCATGGTGATCGTGGTGATCATGATGTTCCTCATGACCATGATGTCCGTGATGTTCATTATGACCATGATGATCATGTTTTACAACACTAGCATAACTACTAGCATGACCGTGATGGTGTCCTGCATAAGCAAGAGCTACAAGTCCTAAAGCGAAAATAATTGAAATCAATTTCATGTTTATTTCTTTCAGGTCTGTTTAAACAGGTGAACAAGCGACGAAAGAATGATACAAATGGTGTGAACTTTTTCCATTTTATACGTTTTCCAATCTTTAAGTTTTTTATAATTGTTTACCAAATAACAAAAGTTTATTGAATGTTTATTGTTATTTACTTTTGTTAGTGTAACAGGAAAATATAATCGGTAAAAATCACAAATACTTAAACAATTAAGAATTTATTTAAATTTTGTGAACTACTTTTAATATTTGCAGAAATTCCTACAATTTATTTGAAAATTTATAAACTTTTGAGTTATTCGGAATTTTTACTTAAAAGCGCTTCAAAAAACCCAGGGTTGTTAAGCAGAACTGGTGACGTCGATGATGAGAATTGAATTTAGTAGAACTAGTGAGAAAGTGGTTAAATGAAACTAGGGACGGAAAAATTATAGATGTAAAAATTTGGAAAAATTAGAGTTACAGGCCTTAAGAGATTAGTTTCTTTTTTCGTTTCCTGCAAGTATCTGTAAAATAAAAATGATGAAATTATATTGAATTCGCATACTAAGTCAAGGTAAAAATTATAAATTTAAAGAATTTAAAAACTATAATTAAGACAATTATGCAAAGTTATATAAATTAACAATAGTGTGTGTTTTAAGAGCGGACACATTACTATGTTTATAACATTCTACTGTATACCTTAAGAGAAAACTAAAAGTAATAGAAGTAATTAATATAATAACATATAGTTAATTAGATCAGTTATTTGGTTATATTTTCTGAAAAGAAGACGTTTGCCCCTTTACTTTGTTTTCATAAAAAATTGATAAAGACTTTTTAATTGAAATATTTCCAATTCAATAGTGTCGGAGTAACCACTTAATCAGAATTATAATTTTGTTTTTTAACTTAAAACAAACATCAGGATTCTACTGTTTACCAAGTGAGAGAAAAACGATGCAATAAAACGGTTAATTGAAGTGGCCATTGTCTTAGAATAATGACGTTTGTTAAACCTACATATTTTACTTTAAGCGAAGCAGGTTGCTATAATACTATTTTTTAAGTTCAATAACTTTAATAAGGTGAAATAAGTATTATAAAATTACAGACATGAAGGGCGATTTTGTGTTTTTTTTATAGAAATTTGAAGAGGCCCTTTTTTAGCACTTTTCCAAAAAGTTTTTGAAAAAAAAGTGCTTATTAGTTTCACTCTGTCCGTCCGTCTGTTCGTATGTCTGTTTACAAGACTTCTACACCCTTGAAGAAAATCTTGAACTTCCACACCCTTCGTAGAAGAAAATCTTTGCCTATCTTCCCCCCTCTAAAAGTTATTACCTCCAAAACCCTATTCTATAAAAACATCATATTTTTAACTAATTTATTGCAATGAAACTATAAGCATTTTTCAAATTTTGCAAAGCAATGAAAAGAAATGATTTGCTTCTTCTATCGCGGCCATACCTTACTTGAAATTTAAAAAACTTAAAATCAATTGTTTCGAAATTATTTATATTAGTTTTCTTCTAGACCTCAGGTTGTAGGAGCCTGAAATTTCGTTAGAAGGAAATTTTTTTTCATAAAATTTGTAAAATGTGAATTTGAGTTAAGCTAACGGTAAATTCCATGCCATGAAAAAATATAATTATTTTTCTTAACTCACGCGATTAACCATTAAAATCGAGTATTAAGTTAACGCCTCTTTAAATTTATTTTTTGCTTTATTTCAAAGACTGCATAAATCAATCTTCCTAAATGTATGCAATTCTTACAATAATTTCGTAATTTTAAGTGTGTAGCGGGTAAACGTAGAATGTTTTTAAAAGCACTATTTTCATTTGTTGAAGGGAAAAGTGCTATAATACAAACCATTACGGTTGGGTCAAACTTTATCAATATCCGTATAATATTCAATGAATAACTGACAAATTTTAAGAATAGCCTGCTAAGTAAACTTCTTTTAAATATATTCATACTGAGTGGATAATTATTGAGATGGATTGTCGTGTAATCTTACACAAAATAAAAGATTATTAACAGAATTTACATGAGTCAATTAAGAATTAAGGAAAATTTGAGAAAAAGTATCGCCAAAAAATTAAGACGTTAAAAAATATGTAAAAATTTTTATTAATTTGTTACAAATTTGATAATTTTCCCGCAAAATAGCAGATACCTCTTTTGCTTATCTTAATAATATTATGAGCCTGCTTTTTTAATCAATTTCTGATCAGGAAACATTCACAGTTTTTTGATTCATACAGAGTTTCGTTTATGTTTTTGATTTGGTTTGGAAATTTACAACTTTCTTCAATCATTTATAAAATTAAACCATTACTTAATTTTTAAAGTCCTTGATACTGCAAAGTTATTCCACATGCTTCTTAACCGTGAGATTGTGTATTGATTTTTTTAAAGAGGAAATAGCTTCTAAAAAAGCACATTAGAGCATCGCTTGTAGCTTATTAAAATAAAAACCTTTTCGCTTTAATCAGAAATTATTAGAAATTAATATATGAAAATCCTGAATTTTTATGCTACTTAAATTATTTTATTTTTTCTTTATTATAAAACATATTTACAAAATGAAATACAATATGTACAACAGAAGTAATTATAATAGAAGTATGTATATAAATATTCAAAATCTATTATACATTTGTGCTTATATATATATATATGTATGTATATATAACCCAATTATGGGTAATCATCGGTGTTTTAATAAAAATGATTTTGAATAAAGATGAGATAAATGTTTTTTATATAATTAATTCAATAAATAATTTCCATATTTCTTTAGACTATATGACAATATGGTGATGACTTAGTAATGATGATGATGATGATCTAATAAATTTGAATTAGCCCAGCTTTCAGCATGTCCATGACCATGTCCGTGACCATGTCCATGTCCTTGATCCCATCCATGACCATCATGATGTCCATAAACTGTAAAAAATTTCACATTAAATGTATTTAAAAATTCATTCTATGTTCTATAATTTATTTTAGGTATACCTTGTGGATGATGAGCATGACCAATTCTTTTAACAACTGCATTAAATCCATTATGTTTATCTGATGTATATTCAACAACACGTTTTGTACCATCAGGTTCATGGAGTTCATAGGCGCCTTCATTTAAAAATAGTATTAAAGAGCTAAATTAGCTCAAAATATAATATTTACATACCTTTAACATGATCCCCATCACGATGTTCCCATTGATTTTTATTATCACCAGTATGTGAATCTTTTACACCATATTCAAATTTATAAGCTGGATGTGAATAATAATCATGATGGTCATCATGACCATGATGACTATAATCAAGTCCATGATGTCCATCGTCATAATGATGGTGATGATGATGATGTGGTTCTTCGTGTTTTACAACACTAGCATAACTGCTAGCATGACCATGATGGTGGCCTGCCCATGCTAATGCTGCTAATCCGAAAAAGAAACCGATTTTTAATAATTGCATATTCTTTATTCTGATTTTAATCTAACTAATAGAACAATTCGCGAACGAATGATACCACTGGAGTCGATTTTAATTCAATTTATATACTTTGTAACCAGAAGAGAAAATAACAAAAGAATTACATTTTATACATATACACAAATGTAAAACAGCTACAAGTAAAGTAATTATTACAAAAAATAAAAAAAAAAAATTATTAAAAAGAATAATAAAAACTACTATTGTGTAATGGTTTGATTTACTTTGCTTCAATAACAGCAACAACAATAACGCCACCACCACCAATAATATTGGGTGGGAAAATTATTCACTTAATTTTAAAAGTGTGATTTTTCTTATCTTTCACATAAATAAAGTCGAGGGTAATGGAAATCAATTTAATGTTAATGAATGTAATAATTATAATAAAAAAAAAATTGTTTTTTTTTTTTTTATTATTTTAATTATTTGAATTAAATTTTAAATTAACCATGGTATTAATAATTTAATCAGCTGAAATAAAGGTAAAAAAAAAATTGAAAATTACAATGCATTCGCGTATAAGGTACGAGTTTTTCTTCATGTTTTTGTTTCTTTTTTTTTTAACATTTTATTAAATTATTAAATTATAACTATGATTGGCAGCATAAATATTGGTTATTTTTATGACCTTATGGCAAGTGCATATATGTAGAGTATATGTGCTTCTATTTTAATTGTTGTTTAAAATGTTGTTATTTTGTTAATTTGCTACGGTAGCATGTTTTTATATTAATGGTTCAATTAATTATTATAACACTATCAATTTTACAAAATTAAATACCTTATCCGTATAACACAAGAATTTCATAAAAAATTATTGATAACCTTCAAATTTCGGAAATACAACTAAAATGTCTTTAAGGTCTTTATTTCAATATATGAAAAATATAAACTGTGAATTAGAATTTAGAATTAAATTTTTTTTTTCCATACTAAGCATAATATTTGTGTAAATAATTAAATTGTATGCAATATAGAAACATTAAATAATATTTCATTAAAAAATCTAGATCTTTAATTATGTGCAATAAGATTTCTAATTTATTTTGTGTTGTACGATCACATTTCATAGAATAAGGAAGGTATTGCGATTGCAGCAAATTTTATATGTTAAAAAACGGGAATAAAATATTTTTAGCATAATGTTCGGGCTTGTGAACTCCTCTATCTTAATTTCGTATGAAAATTTATCTTAGTTTCCTGGGTGAATGTGACAAGTCGATCAAATTTTAAGGTATGTATTTCGAGTCCTAGTATTTGATTCTTTAAGCGAAATTTATATTTTTAACTACACATGTCTATATATGTATAACCTAATAACTGCCGTATTACCTGGAATCTCCGAATTACTTTTCTATTGAACAAATCTGTAAAATTTTCAAGGAAGTTGTATTTTTATATATACAATTGAACCTTCACAAGGAGGCAGTTTTATATTTTTGTATAACATATTTTAAAATAGTAATTTCACAGAAATTAGATTCCTTTAGTTCGATTTTATATTAGTTTTTTTCTTCAAATCGCTAGACTTATAAGGTGCTATTTACATTCACGACAAAATTTAAAATTAAATTTACGACAAGTATCGAACCGCAATTATTTAGAATTTATGTCAAAATTTAACAATTTGTTATGTTAAATTATAATCAAAATAAAAATCAGCTGATCACCAAAACTTTCTCAAAAAATTAGTTGCCACTATTTTATTTTTAAGAATCTGATAGTAAATTAGAAAAGAATTGAGTAATTTTTTGTTAGTTGTCGTCCGACAAAGTCAGATGTCAAACAGAATTTATACATACGATTTTCATCCGAATCAGATTAAGTCTAGGGATTTGTCGTATATGTCGTAAACAGTACCTGCAAGTAGAATTATTGGAATTTTTAAAACTTCCTTCATAAAATACACGATGCTGACCACATTTTTTTTTAAAATTATGTACAATTTAAATTAAATATTAACTCTAGCGTTAAGAAATTCTATAATTACTCAATAATTATTTGTGAATAATAAAATATTAGAGTGAATTTTAATTTTTTTTTGTTTTTGATCTAAAAAAACAAAAAAAAATTGAAAAGTTTATACTTTAAATTAAATTTTAAAATTAATATTACAAATATTTTGTAAATTTGCATATTTCAATATTAATTAAAAAAAAAACAAAAGAAAAAAACTAAAATAAACAAATTATCACAAAATGTCTAGGCTATTGTAATTTTTTTAATATTAAAGTTCAAAGGAGTTGAAAAAAAAATTCTATTGAAAATTTTAAACTTTAATCATTTATTTTTCAATTTTATAAGGCATCTATAGGTCACGATCATGATTATATGGAAGTTATGATATATTTTATGAATAATCAAGTGTTGTAATAAAATAATTGAATATTTATTTTTTAATTTTGAATAATTGTGAAATGATTTAAATTTTTTTAATATTTGGGTCACGATTTATTGTGAATGAATTTTAGAAATACAAATTTAGATCTTGATTTAAGTAAAATTTTTAAAAATTAGGTATGTTTTTTTTGTTTCATTGCTCATTTTATTAGAAATAAAGGAAATTTTTAAAAAAGGAAACAATTAGGAAATGCAAGTGTTATTATAGTTTTTTTTTGAACCAAGTATGTTATGTTGAAATACGTAAATAGTAGCCTTAACAGACAATTTATTTAAATATAGCGTCTAGGATAATGCTGTTGGAATTTTAAGATTTTATTAAAAAAATCCAAAATCATCAGTAACAATCAGTAATTTTAGTGTTTTTTGTCTAAATTTTTGAATATTTAATTAACAATTATTTATTAAATTGCTATAACAATACGGACTGGCAAATATACGACTATTAAATATTGAACAGTTCTAAAATATGTGGACATCATAAATAGTTGTATGTACATATATGTAATGAATAGGATTAGCTAAATTTTTCAAAAATTTCGCAATTCATGTTGGATTCGTGAAATTAATATTTGTTTTAAATTAATTCATGTTACGTGAAAGAGAAAAAATTTGCACAATTCCCAATAAAGTCTAGTATTTTTGTATATAGATCTATATTCATCCAAATGATGGTAAAATTAATTTTAACAGAATATTAACGACAATAGAAAACTTGGGCAGCAATTTATATTTGGGATTTGTGAAAAATTTCTTTTACTTTACATAAAATTTAGCATAAGAGTTTAATTAATTTTAAAATCATTTTTCAAAAATAAATTCTTCTAAGGATTCTTAAATTTGAAAGTAAAGTTAAATAAGATCTCTAAACTGTTGTTAAATAATTTTTCGAATCAATGACACATACTTTATTTCTTCAAATTTCTATTAAATAAACAGAAATCATGTAATCTAGATGATTAAAATTTGGTTACTATTATAAGCGGAAAATTACAAAACATTTTTAAAATTTTAATATTTTAGAATTCACAAAATATTTTAACCGTTGTTTGCACATATTTCTAAATTTAGGTCCACAATTAGATTCATATTACCGTTTCTGTTTAATTTTATATAATTGGTATTCTATGACACATTTCGATGAGAAGATTTGGATGAGTGACAGAAAAGATATAATTTGCAAAAAATTATTTAAGCTAAATTAGAGTGTCGCAATTTTCATAATTTAATGAATTACCATATAATTTAATAGAAATGTAGATTAAAACAGTAAAATTAATTAAATACTCATTATAGATATATAAATTACTTAATCTACGGAAGTTGCCAAAAAAAGTACAGTTTAGGATAATGTTTTTGAAGTAAAGATTCGTGTCGTAAAATATTACTACAAATTACCGAAATTTATTATTTCAAATTCGAGTTCGTATTTTATAGAACTACAATATCCAAGTCTGTTCAGTGTACAATGAAGTGTAATATTCAAGCATTCAATAAATTTTTGCAAAAACAAATTTTATAATTTAAGAATTTACAATTAAGAATGTTTAATTTCTCATAATAGTATTTTAATTTATAAGAGCATTATTATCTCGAGTAAAGAAAAAACTGGCTAGTCTAACATATTCATCTGACATCTCAGTATAGTTGGCAAATTTCGTGGTTTTTATTTTTTTCTACATTTCCTATTAAAACAGTTTCTTTTATGCCTTTCTGTGTAGCTATTGAAAATTTTAAATCCTTACAGTGTATCTACTGCTTTGAATAGTCTGTACTCACTATAATTGCTCTTTTATGTGATGGCTTAGATATGAAGGAGTTTTCAAGTAACTTGAACAGCATTTTGTGAATCAAAAACACTTGGATTAGAATGCTACTTAAATATTATTTATTTTTAAATTAAGAAAAAATTAATTCATATTTACAAATTGTTTAGTTATAATTAAGAATATTATTTCCTAAACTTGAAATCATAAAAAAATTTGAAACGATCACAATATCAAGAAAAGTGATCGTCTCCTAAAAACAATGAATTTTAATAAATAATCCAGTTTTCGTTAAATTTCGAATGAATAAATATTTGACTTAGTGATGATGATGATTTAATAAGTTTGAATTAGCCCAGCTTTCAGCATGTCCATGACCGTGTCCGTGACCATGTCCATGTCCATTATCCCATCCATGACCTTCATGATGTCCATAAACTGCAAATATTTAAATTTGCATTTTGTTAATATTTAAAAATAATTTTATTGTAATTTATTTTATACCTTGTGGGTGATGGGCATGACCGATTCTCTTAACAACAGCATTAAATCCGCTATGTTTGTCTGATGTATATTCAACAACACGTTTTGTGCCATCAGGTTCATGAAGTTCATAAGATCCTTTTTTAATTAAAAAAAAAAGACACAATAACGTTAGTGACTTTTAATAAAGCTTCAATTATAAATTGTCATAATACCTTTAACATGATCACCATCACGATGTTCCCATTGATTTTTATTATCACCAGTATGTGAATCTTTTACACCATATTCAAATTTGTATGCAGGATGTGAATGATGATCATGATGTTCATCATGTCCGTGTCCGTGTCCATGATCCCAACCTCCATGAGCAGCATATCCTTGATCCCAATCTCCATGACCACCATGTCCTTGATCCCATCCTCCATGACTACCATGATCATGATGAGCAACAGATCCATGTTGATCCCATCCACCATGACCATGATTATCCCAACCTCCACCATGACCATGATGATGATCATGTTTTACAACACTAGCATAACTACTAGCATGACCATGATGATGTCCTGCCGATGCTAACGCAAGTAATCCCAACACAAAACCAAGTTTAAATAATTGCATTTTTATTTTATTTTTTTTTTACTGATCTGAACGTTGGAACAATTGACGAACGAATGATATCGTTATGTTTGATTTGGACCAAATTTATACTTATCCTAAAATCATTAAAAATTTATATGCAAAATCTAACTGTAATACACACATATAAAAGAAATACTAAGAGAAAATAATAATAAAAAATTTGTAAATAAAGAAAATCAAAAACAAAACCAGAATCATTTTTTATTGTGCAAGAGTTAAGAGTTCATATACGCTTTAAAAATAATGGTAACTAGATCATTTTGGTGGGAGATTGTTATTAATTTTTTTTAATTGATTGTTTTCTACTTGTTCATTTAATACTGAAAAAGGTTCATAATGGTAATATTAAGTTATCAAAACAGTTAATGATTTAAATATCTCGTTCCTTGAAAACTAATTTGTATTTATTTTAGCTATATTGGAATTTTAATTTGTATTATAACTAATTGTATGTTTTGTAAAAAATTAAGTCACATAAGTAAGGAATTAAAATTTTCAAAAATTTTATTTTAAAAGGCCTGAAGCAAAACTTACAATTATTTTATTTTAATTTTATGAATTGAATGGATTTTATTTGTTGCGTTTTTTAATGATAATGGACACATGAGAAATACAAAAAAAAAGTGTAAAATTTATTATTTTTTTAAATTTCGAATTAAATATTTGAGTAGTTTATTATTTATTAAGATTTTAGCCTTCCTACATACAATTGGAAGGACAAGCTTCCTAAGGTTCATTTTTTTCACATAAATGTTTCCAGTTATTATCAAAAATCGAATCAGTGTGAGAATTATATTCTCTGAGGCTACATTTTAAAGGAAGTTCATGAAGAATCGATTAAAAATTTTAGAACTGAAAAGAAATTAAGTGGAATATTGATTTTAATTATTTTTTTATGCACTAAATGTGAATAATTTAAGATTTTGTCAACTATCAAAAATGAATATGTCAAAGAATTTTCAATCAAAATTGGATATTTGTCGCAGATGTCATGGTGTCATTGTAGTCAAATTAAACCATAACAATATTACCTATGTTTTGTGAAACATTATTTATTACAATTAATAATTTCAATTAAAAAATTGGAAAGTTAGTTATAAATTAATAATAAAAATTAAATTAGTAATAAACTAATCCAGAAGTCACTAAATTCATGTATATTTAATTTTTGAAACCGTAATAATAATTTAGATAATGGCGAAAAAGTGAGTTTTTTTGCTAAATACTTTAATTTAGTGTATATTGACCTAATTTAGTAAGTTATATTAAAGTATCAGCCAAGTTGATTTAAGTCGATAATGCGGATTAGGAGTTTCTATTACAGTGACATTCATTTGTATATCATGTCACTTATATACAAAAGAAAATCAATTGAGTCTTCAAGCTATATTCGTTCGTCTGTCTGTTTATTGTGGAAATAGCTCATTCGAGAACGGAAAGAGACTTGAAATGTGATACAGCATATTGCACGCTATCCGGTATTTAACCACTGTAGAGTTTGTAATTGAAACGTTGTTATGGGCATTACTATGTAATTCGATTTTCGTATTTGCACAAATGGGAAGGTAGTATCATATAAATTGATTGGCAACACCTTATCATTTTTGAAAATACGAAAATCGTTTTACCAAAATCGAATTACACAGCAAAGGCCCGGCCCGTTTAGTGAAATTATCTTTGAAGTGAAAACTAACTTTCAAATTTAAATAAGTATTCATCTTTATTTTCTACACAAAAATATAAAGTATTTTACCAAAATACATGTGCATAAATGGTCCCATTATAACTACTTCTTTATATATGTAGATAAGTTAAGTTGGCCCAGATGTTCAGATATATACCCAGAGTTCTATTTTGTGATCTGCCATTAAGGAAAAGAGTAAGTAAGAAAATAAAGGCGACTTTTTACCAAAAACCATACAATGTACACTTGTTTCTTAATAAATTTAATTAAGGAATTTTTTTTTTTAGTATTACTACTGTGATTTTTTTTCTTCATGGAGGATCGAGAGGCTTTGTCTCTTCTTATATCAACCCATAGGATATTTCGTGATTCAGTAATTTTAAAGTAACATTAATTTTTGTTAGATTTTACTTAAAATTTCAAAATTCAAAATAATTCAAAATTCTATTTTTAATTTTTGTGCTACTTAATTATACACCAAAACTTTATTTCTAAACAAAATCAGCATATTTTTTAATCAAACAAGGAACAACAACAAATCGATTGCAATAGTTTGTCGAATAATACAAAAAAAAATGTTATATTTGTTCTTTAAAAATTTGTTAATCAAAATTTTATAATTATTAAATAATAAGAAGGTAACAGGATTTTAATAAAATTATTTGAATAATCAAATTTTTGAATACAAATTGTACAATGTAATTTGCATACTTATTTGTTTATCGTCTTATTCCAATATTATAGGCGATTTTTATTCAAATTCGTATATATTTATATAGATATGTATACATATAATATAACTATTATTGTATTTACCTATATTAATAACCTATAATAAATCATTCAATAAATTTTATAGTTAATTACATGGTGTTTTTTGTTTGTGATTAAAATTATTTCTTGTTGCCTTGTAGGCTAAAAATATGTCTGCAAAAGAAAATATACAATAACCTAATAAACTTATTTTTTCCACTATTACATACAAAATCTTTATAATTATAGACTCTATATAGTTTAGCGTGAAAATAGATTTTTTGTTGTTTTCAGTTTAAAAAATTTTACTAAAGCAAAATGAGAAAAGAAGTAAAAATTTTGGATAAATAAATTGCAGACTCATTGAATTCAAGGTTAATATAATTATATAATAAGTAGGTTATTTTTAGTTTTGTTTAACAATAATAAAGAATTTTTTTTTTTCTTTTGGAAATAAATAACAGTATTGTCATTTTAGATCCGATATTGTATAACATAGTGTGTGAAAACAAGTAGCATTCCAATATCGTTTTTTTTATCAAATATGTGCAAATTTGTAAAAATATTATCGTAATGTTCGCCATTTTCGTTTTTAATCCTTATACAGATTATAATTATAGAAAATATATTTAAAATATAAATTTTTCTTTTAAATATAAATTTTATTTTAAATTCTATTATAATTTTGTTAGTAGGTGTATCATTGTTGTTCATACCTTACTGTCATTTGTCATAATTTTTTGTTAGAAATACATTCAGGATGTTAAACATTAGGGTTAGAAAGAAATCATAATCTAGTTTTTATAATTGAAAATTGAACAGTTGTATCGAAAAATAAGGAAATTCAAACACTCTTTTCGTTATTGCGTTTGCGTATTTTTTGTAGTTTGAAATGGCACATTAAAATGTTTATGTAACACTATTTTATATAATATAGTTTAAATCTAGACATAAAGAAAAATTTCGGGAATTACAACATGAATAGATAGAGTTTTATCAATTATTGAAGAAATCATGTATATTTTACTGCGAAGATCAACATGGCTAACCGTTTGTCTACATATATATATCATTAAGGTTGAGTAGCACTACTTTCAACTTTAAGTTAAAGAATATATTTTTACATTTCAAAACACTTTATTCCGAATTTTGTTGTTTTTATTTTTATTTTAATAAATTCAATGCGTTAAAAACGATACTACACCTAATACCATATATATATATATCTGTCAGGCCAAGCTCAGAGAAAAAGCCAAAAATAAATTTCAAATTTATATGGAGCTTAAATTAAAGGGGTGTCGAAAATTGATTAAAATTTTCAATTCTACTGATTCTACATATCTTTTTTAGTTTAAAATTTAAATTTCAATAAAATTGGTTGGCAAATTCTGTGTGTAAAATGCATTTAAAATAAAAAAAAAGCAATTTTTGACGCAGACAACCTTTACTGTATTCCAAATAGGCACTGAATTAAAGAGTAAAATTTCGAATATAAAATTGAGTTTAAAAAGAACTTGAAAAAAAAAAACAGAAAAAAGAGTGGTTATGGTCTAGATCGCTTTCAAAATCATACTAAATAAAATGAGATTCACAAAGAATACTCAAAAATTTCATAGGAAAAATAAAAAAATATATTTCGATCGCAATACTTCGAAAACATAAAACAATAAGAATTGTTTTTGTAAGATTCTCCGATTGTAATATTTCGGAAAATAACTTCTGTTTGTTGGCCTTATAGATTCCTTAACTCCCAAATAATGAATTTTTCAAATGACTATCAGTGAGATCGGTGAGAAATGACTATTAGTATTTTCGATACTTAAAATTATCGACAGCTATCGATACTTTATATTAATAATATCCTATCATTATTTTGTGATTTCATAAAAAATGTGGGAACTTCACAAAATCAAAGTAATTTAAAACGCTTAACAGAATAGAGGGCAAATTATTGTTAAGGAAAAAACATTGTTCCGCTAGTACATATCATAATTGAGCAAGATTTTCTGATACACTTGTCAATACTGTCGCTCATTTAATTTTAAAAGACATTCACAATAGCAATTTCTATGATATTTTTTATTAACTTTAAGCAAATTTAAACAATTTAAACCAATTTTTTCAAAAATTCAAACTTATAATTCAAGCTCAAATTAAATTCTTATTATAAAGAAATAATAAAAATACACGTACATTTTTGATAATCCAAATTTATTATATTTAATCGAATGAAAATTATTAATTTGCGTATTACCTATGATATTTGGTATAATAAAACACAATTCATTATGAATTGCAGTTTTTTTAATGCGTGATTGTAACACTTATGTGTTATTGCAAATGCATTTTTTGGGGGGGGGGGGGGGGGGGGCGATAAGTAATCATAATCTCTAAATAAACATAAGTTTTTTAATTGTTAAATTACCGTAATTCTATGTTATTTTTCATCATTATTATTAATTCTTTAAAATGTCAATAATGACATTTCTGTGACATGTTAATTCAGGTCTATTATAGTAAAAAAAAATATTGAAAAAGTGCTTTAAAAAATCTTTTTGTGAAATGTTCTAAATTGACGATTAAGTCTATTTCGCATTAGGCCATTTATTTTAAACTATGCGTATAAGTTAAATTAATTAAGGCTCGCAGTCGTATTTCTCGAGTATAATGGTGTAGATAAAATGTTCAGACTAAGAATCCTCTCTCATGAAGGTATTTTCGTCTGTACTATTCAAGAACAGTTATACAAGCTTCTAAAGCTCATTTTAAAGTCGATGGAATTTTCAGAAATTACAACGGAAACATTTAAAATCATTTAACTTTGGTATATGGCAGCATAATTTAAGCAAAATTTTTTTGTACACTCTTTTCTTTAATTATACTCTTGCTGTCACTTACACAAAATTAATATTTAACGTCAATTAATATGCTGTGCTGTACGTTTCTTATAACTCAAAGTAAGACCCGTTTCTATCTTTCATTTCGATATAAAAATGATAAATTTCAGGAATTTCATTGCTATGAAAGGGAATCTGAAGTCAAATAATCAACATAACTTATCAAAACGATTTAATTTTCGGGATGGTGGGACATTGAATCTGTTAATATATGGTATGTATCTTCCGCATCTTTAAAATTAGAAGTTGTGTCGATAATATTAAATTTCGGACAAGTTATTTCAGGTCAAATAATTAATCAATTTTATTTTAATATGGAAGGAATCGCAGAAGAAATAAAAAAAAACGTTCCGACAGGTGAACAATTGCTTTAATAAGGATTAAAATCTATTTTTCTGTTGCATATTTATATTATTTAAGAATTAAAATTATGCTTGAAGATTAAAATTAAAACAAAATCAGTTTCATTGCAACAACTAATTTATAATGATTTTCTTTATTTTCTTATAAAAAATTCATATTTAAAATTATTTATGTTTATGTATAAGTAAGTATATGCTTATATAACACGTATACATATTATATAATTAATGAAAATTCCTATTTACAAAATTGATCACAAGTTTTTTCTAAGAGTGAAAAAGAAATATTAGAATTTTTACGATTTTCAAAAATTTCTTAAAAAAATATTTTACTTCGGTATCTCATAGTACAGAATATATTCGGAATTTAAAATATTTTAAAGAAATTTTTTAAAATCATAAACAAATATTGGCAGTGATGAATTAAATTGGTAAATTATAAACTATTGAGTACTCAATATATTCTACAATGAAGAACTTAAATTCCTAAATAAATATTAGATTTCTTTTCTTTTTTTTTTTTTGAAATTTTTCAATGGATATGCATATATTTGATATTCTTAAATTAATGATGATGAGAATGTAAATTTGAATTTGCATAGCTTTCAGCATGACCATGTCCATGAGCATATTCGTGTCCATGACTATGATGATCATCATGTCCATAAACTTTAGAATGAAAAAAAAGATGTTATATTTTGATATGAATATTATAATTTAAAAATATAAAAAATTACTTTGTGGATGATGAGCATGTCCTACGCGTTTAACAACAGCATTAAAACCAGCATGTTTATCAGAAGTATATTCTACGATACGTGTTGTACCATCAGGCTCATGAAGCATATAAGCACCTGTAAATTTAAAATAAAAAACATAATATTCATTCGTATAGCACATATAAAGCAATAATATATTAAAATTCATATAGGCTTAATCATGTTCTTAATTTTAACTTTAAAATAGTCTTTTTTACTGCAGATCAAAACTTCTTCTTCAAAACTGAGAAAAACTTGCAAACTAAGAAGTACCCATACAGAAAATAATAGTATACATAAAATGTTGTTGTTAATTCTTTCAATTAAATGCAATTCTTGCCAATCATAAGATTTAATTCTACACAGTTAGTTTAAAATATAATGACTCGAACTGCTACCAATTAAATAGTTCTATACTTGATTTCTCATGACTCGAACTGCCACCAATTAAATAGTTCTATATTTGATTTCTCATGACTATGATTTCATACTTTATTATCTATACTAAAATTTTTGAGTGGACCCCTCTACTAATCTCTTGGTCATTCATTCATTAACTCAATTAAAAATAGAAGACTTCCTCACAGAAAAGAGGATTTCGATTTATAGTTCTTTTTTAAAGTTCAAGACTGACTCTGTATAGTTTTAAGTTAAATTTTTGACTATACTAAATTTTAAGTTAAACTTTTATAATTTAATATTTTAATTTTATTATAATTATTTTTATAATTTTAATATTTGGGATTCTTATACCATCTTTCTGTTTGTAGTATTGCCAATGTTTTGTAATTCTCATAAAATCGAATTATTAACGTATTCAGAGTTGCTGTATTTCCAAAAATTACTTCTGTTTTTTATTTCTGCAATATTCTGCAGGTTTTCGCATTATAATATTGAAATTTTGCTTAACAATTATTTAATATTGTTATATTGTTATTTGTTATACAATATGTTATATAACTGTATGTCTTACAAGTTTCCAAATCCTAAGAGACAGCTGTTATAATATTTAACTATATTTTTAAATTTTAAAAATTTACTAGTTCTTTAATAAGTAAGTATTATTTTTTATAATTATAGATCAATTAATTTTTTCGTTTATTATACTATCATTAATTTTTTTACATTTTTTTTTAATTTTCGCAAAATAAATAAAAAAACGGTTTATGGGTAATAAATGCATAAATATGGGGAGCGTTTTGTATATTAATTGTAAAAAAATTATTGCGTGAATATTTGATAATCCGTAACAAAATTTTTATACGGTGTATGAATTGAATAATTTCGCCTTCTTTCATTACACTTAAACACATAAGTATAATAGATAAAAGGTTAATAAAATTGTTAAGTTATCGTTTAATATAAAAGATGAACTGAACACGCTTTAACGGCTACAGTAACATGTTTTTAAATTAAATGATCATAAAATGATAAAAATGTTTAGTAATTTTATTTTACTTATAATTAATAATTGGTATGTATATAAGATTATAATAAAATAATTGAAAACTAAGTGTGAAATAAATTTATTTGTTTAATGGAAAATAACAAATATTTGATTTTTAATAGAGATGTTATTGCTGAAGAGAGATAATGAAAGGAATAAGCTGAGACCAGACAAATTGCTTGTAAAATAGTACACAATTCTGGTTTTTTCATTTTTATTTTCTAATAATAAAATGATGTTTTATGTTCATATGTTATTGCTTGAACATGCAAGTAATTTGTACATTTTTATTGCATACTGAAAGGGTACCAGAAATTTTGTATTATATTGAATAGAAAAAACAATTTTATTGTAAGAGATCTTTACTGTTATAAAAAATTGGCAATTCCTGGAACTTCCTGAGCAGTAAATGGATGGGAATTCCAATAAGACTTATTGGCTTAATAAATCTTATCAAGAAAGGAGTAGACCTCAAATATTTATATGTCTGTATTCTGCTGTGTATTTCAAGTGTAATCATAAAATTTGAAGAGCTTTTTGATTTATGTCGAAAATAATTAAAGTCAACATTTAACAAAACAATAAATTAAATTTAAATTATTTATTTTTATACTTCTCGTGTCCAAAATATCTATCTAGAGGGGAGTTGTTTCTGAAAACTACCTTAAAACTTAAGCAGTTAAGTTTGAAGCATTATCCAGCAGAATCTCTATGATGTAAAGAATTCCAGGCAACTCTTTAAAAAATTGGCATAAAGATTCTATTTAATTAATTTACTTGGAATTATTTTAATAATATCATCTTGCATTTCAAAATAAAGCATTATTAAATCTATATGAGACAAGGCTCTTGTTTAAATTGAAATATTTAACATTGGGATTTTTAACATATAACAAATGTTTTAGATTTTCGTATAGAATTTCGTATTTTTTTATCAAGATTGTACACTTTAAATTTTATCACAAGATTAATTATTTTTTCTACATACCTTTAACATGATCGCCATCACGATGTTCCCATTGATTTTTATTATCACCAGTATGTGAATCTTTTACACCATAATCAAATTTATAAGCTGGATGTGCATAATAATCATGTGATTCATCATGTCCATGACCATAGCCATGAGCATAACCTCCATGCTCATGTCCATGATGAATTGGATGTGAATCTTCATGTTTAACAACACTAGCATAACTACTAGCATGACCATGATGATAACCAGCAGTGGCCATACTAGCAAGTCCAAATATTAAACCAATTTTAAATAATTGCATTTTGACTCTAATTTTTTTTTAATATTATTTTTATATTGTTTTGTTAACTAAAAACTTTTGTTAAATAACTAAAAAAGAAAAAATTAAAATTTAAATTATATTTTCAATTTTGTTAATATTTTTTTTTTTTGTAACACTAACTTTAAGAACGTTTTATGACCAACTGATGCCAATATGAATTTTTCGCTTGATTTATATACTCTCGAACAAAATGTATTATTGTGATGTTTGGCGGTAGAAATGCACTTCAAAAAAATTGCAAGTTTTTGGTTACATCGTCTATCATCGTATATTTACAAAGAGAACTGAGCGCACATTAAACTAGTAAAACAACTAGAAATCCAAATTGAAAAATTTTTGCGAAGAAAAAAAAAAAACTAAAACAAATAAAATAAAAAATTGAAAATCAAATACAAAGAATTGTTTTTGCCTTTGTTGCGAGCGTTTTGTTTTTCTTTTTGTTTCTTTTGGGAGATGTTTGTGTGTTAAATGAGCATTTCTTTTACAAACTATTTTGCTTTTGTTTTTTTTCTAATTGTCTGTTGCTATTGCTGCGCTTTTGTTTTTTTTTTTTTTTTGAATAAAAAACGACTTTTTTAGCATATTGCAAGTAATTTTCGACGCGGTATACTAAAAACAAAAAAAAAAAGACACAAAATTTTTCTGTTTTTGCTCTCTTTTCATTTATAAAAGTTAATTGGAAGATTATTATATGCAATACACTAAATACAATTTTTATCTATTGATTGCGCATATATATTGCAATTATTTAGTGGGTTCAAAAGTGTATCACTAGTTTTGTTTGGTAAAAAAAGAAATGTGTATTGAATTAGAAAATTTAAATTTTATCATATTGCTCTAAGATGAACTTTCCGATATACTGTAAGTATGTTAGATGGGATTTTTATTAAAAAAATTAGAGAATTTGAAATTTGAATATTTTTTGATTTAATGATACAATGTTTATAATTCAGGAAAGCGAATAATTTGATTCTCCTCATGAATATGCTTTGGGAACAGCTGTGTAGCTTTTTCCCTTTTAAACCAACTTTTTGAAAAATTTAATTAAAAATTTTAATTGTCCAAACAATGTTGTTTCATGCAAATGCGGTTTAAGGTATTTAATTGTAGTTTGCACTGTTGAACTAATTATGATTTTTGAGTTAATAACTTGATTAAGTTGTGATGCAGTATACTCAGTTTAGTTTGTTTCTACATACAGAAAAATAGAATATAAATTTAATTAGGCACACCTTTTACAGCTCTTAATAAACTAAATATTTTCTTTGAGTTTAATATGTACAAATAACTAGCATTTTTTCTTTTTTAACTTGCAAAAAATACATGCAATTTTTATGTCAAATGTTTACCATATTAAGTGCATTACTGTGAACATGCAGTTTAATATTGTGATCAGTGATTTCTAAATGTTCTACTTTAAGTATTTGGATTGAAATGAACTAACAAATCCAAAATATTATGGAAAGTCAATTTTTTTTTTCAAACACAAAAGTATAGTTGCTCATATTTCGTCAACACGATTTAAATTTTTGAAGTTTTATTGATTTCCCGAAATAATTGAGTTTAGCATTTGATATGTGTCACTGAAACCCGATGAGCTTTGATATTTGGCAGGTGACAGATGACAGTTGACATTTGACAGGTGACAAATGGCGGCTGACAGATGACAGGTGGCACTTGACTGATTATAGCTGACAGGTGACAGGTGGCAAATGACACTTGACAGGTGACAGATGAAAGTTGACATTTGACATTTGTCCATATTTGAATTGTTGCATTAATTTTATTTTTTAAACAATTTTTTTTATGGTAATCTCCTCCATATTAAAAATTCGAAACAAAATTTTTACCATTTTCTTATATTCAGTAATTTTTTTTATAAATAAACAAAATTTGTAGGGTTAATTTTTCTTATACAAAAATTAAGTATAATGTTTACATTTTCTTCGCTTATCGTAAAATTGAGCACTTGTAATAATACAATTTAATTTGAAAAAAAATTTTCCTATAGAAAATGTCACTTTGACATTTTGTTATTTTGACACTCTGTCATAGTGTTATTTTTACTTTACTTTCTTAAAGTCTTCATATTTTCAAAATTTCAAAATTTTCAAAACTTTTAAATACAAAATTTAAAATTATGATAAATCAAAAAGATAACATTTTTCAAACCACTGTTTAAAAATTGAATGTAAATATGCATTTATAAAACATGAATTGAATAGTTCAGTAAAAATAATAATAACTGTATAACACAATAGCTTACTAACCAATATTTGCAAACATTAAACAACAAAAAAGCTAGTAAATAATAATAAAGGAGAGAAAAAAAAGAAAATTTCGAAATTCTACTTTACTTCTTTTTTGTCCATTTATACTACTCTTATTATTTCAGAGGTGTTCTTGAGATTTATAGCATATGGGTATATGAGGAAAATGCACAGAAAAATTTCAAACAGAAGTGAAAAAAAAATTAATTAAAATATTAAGTTGAGACTAAGAAAAACAAAAAGCCATTTATAATTTATATGAATGGAAAAAAAATTAAAATAATATTGCTCCGTGTTTAAAGGAATTGGACAATTATTTGATAAGAGCTAAAGAATCGGACAATGAAATTAATATTAAATAATAGGATAATTTAAAAAAAAGAGTGCCTGAAATTTATACAGAGTTTAAAAAAAAGTACCTTTACAAAAATTAAACAAAACTGAGAATGCCAACAAACCTCTTAAAGCCCTTAAATCCACAATAAAATTTAAAATTTGAGTATTTTTGAGTACTTTTATAATTTTGAGTATTAGTGATTGAAGCGAGATCTATTAAAAATTTCTGTGTTTATAACTAAACAAATTTATTGTTTTTCTATTCGTTGTTTTGTTTTTGCAATTTTAATAAATTTTATAGCGTTTGTCTGTCTAAGTAGTCTCATTATTTTAAAATTGCACTGCTATTATTAATTGATTTTTATGCTGTGATCATAAAATTTATGAAATTAATTGTCATAAAAATGTCATAGATATTAAAACATTTTTATTTCATCAATTAAATTTTATTAATAGTTTTTACTCTTAAAAATAGTTGGAAAAATTTCGTTGACACTTCATAATATTGGTATGTACTATGAAATATTTCCCCCCAACCCAATGGATTGAACAAAAGACTTAAGCTAGAAACTTCGTAAATTGAAAAAGTAATTATGTATGTTTCAGTGGAATTTTGCTAAAATTTTGTAGTGGAACAATTGGTTTTAGAATATTTCTTTAAAATTCTACAAACACTTGGTAATAAATTTTAAATTCAAAATAATTAAAAAATTATTTTTTATTTGTTTATTCTCTCATGTACACCTTTTGTATTGAATAACTTTGCGAATTTTAACTATAAAATTTATAATTAATTTATTCAGGAATTTTCTAAAAAAATTTTCATAAAATTGGGAATTATAATAATCGTTTTTTAATATACTAAAATAGTAAATTTATTATTTTTAAAATAGTGTGTAAGTTTTATTGTACCGCTCCAATTATTGATAATCAATTTAATGATTATTTTTTAATAGGAATTCTTTTTCGTTGAATTTTTTTTTAACTGCTTCCAAAACGTTAATATTAATAGACGTATAGTAAGGTTAATGTAATTTTTTTTTGTTATTTATTTAAAGCATTGTTTTTATTTTAAAATGAGTTAAAATAAAATTCTAAGCTAAAATTTTGCGCAACGATAACAAATCAACCAAATCGAATTGTGTGGTACAAGTATGCAACCAACAAAACAAAAGAAAAAACGATAAACACAAAATATTTTCAATAAAAAATATAAAATGTTTGGTCAACAATTTTAAGAAACATAAAAAAAATTTGAATTACGAGGATATGTGCACATACATAATTACTATAAATGTAGTCATATATGTTATTTATACACATGTATGTGTTACTGCATGCAATTCGTATAATAGCGATACACTTCTGATATGAAAAAGGTTTTTATAGGTTGTAAGAATTGCATGCGGAGGTAAGAGATTTCGTAGTGGATTTAAACTTTGAATGAGTAGGCGCTTGTGTTTGAATTTTTATTTATTTTTAATTTTTGTAACATGCCAAAAATTTTTTAGTAATGTTAGTATTAAAATTTTACTTTCAATGTTTTTGGTTTGAGTTGAACAAATTTATTATAAACATTTTGTTGTAGTCGTTATATAAGTGATTATATAATCTTAATCTTCGATACTTCAGAAATTCTTCGAAACTGCAAGAGGTGATGTTTGATTTAGAGAGTGTTTAAAACGTAATATTTTGTTTTAATGACATCGGACTTATTCATATTAAAAAAAAGATTATTAGGAGCATTAGGTTTTAGGGAATCACGGCAATAATTTAAAAGTGTAGTAAATGACTGGTGTTCAAGAACAGATGTATTTGGATCAGAAAATTTCAGGAACTGCATTTATCCCAACCATAATTATTCTTGTTCTTCTAGGTTGATTGGATAATTAACATCCAATCTGTGTCTTTTTTACATTGTCTTGTTTTGGTGAATTTTTCAACTAGAACACTTCATGCAATTAGAGTGTGTTAAATTTTAATTGCGAGGGTATTGATTTTAAATCTTCAATTTCTCTCAAATTATTAAAATATTTATATGGCACTTGAATCACAAATTCTTTTCTATAAAAATATAAATTAAAAAAATGAAAATAAAATTGGGATGACTGACTCTACACCTGTGTTATAATCAGTTTAATAAATTTTAATTTTCACCTGCAAAAGTCGACAATCCTGGGTTGAAAACTAAAGAATTAACAAATGTCCTTGTAGTTTTATTTTATTAATTATACGAAATCAATTTTAAACTAAAAAAAAAATATTACTTTAATAAAATCTGGTATACAAGTTTAAATTGTTTTAAAAAATTTTTTTTTAATTTTCTCAATTTTTCTTATTGTTGAAAAAAATTGAATTTTGTTGTTGAGTAAATTGCTTAAGGTAATTAGTTTTTGGCTTTAAATAAATTAAAATAATTAGAATCAATAAATTTTAATAAAATTTTAATAAAACCACATAGAAATATAAAATTTATATTTCGACAATATTTTGTTGGTTTTTTTTGTATACGAGTATTAA